CACCGGGCCCTCTGACCACCACCAGTAGGCAACGGGTGAAGTGTCTTGCCCAAGGACACAATGACACATTAAGAGCAATATTCCAGACACTCTGGACCCCCTGCAGTATGCCTACGGGCCCAACAGGTCCACGTCAGACGCCATCGCTGCTGCCCTTCACTATTCACTCTCCCACCTGGAAAATAATGACTCCTACATCAGGGTACTCTTTGCTGACTATAGCTCCGCCTTCAACACAGTCATCCCACACAAACTCATCCACAAACTGTCTACACTCGGCCTGCACCCCACCCTCTGTGACTGGCTACAGGACTTTTTGACTGGCAGGCCTCTGACAGGATCGGCAACAGGACTTCAGTCAGCGTTACCACAAACACTGGAGTTCCACAGGGTTGTGTCCTCACCCCCACCCTCTACACCCTGTACACCCACGACTGTGTCGCCTCCAACAAAGAGAACATCATTTTGAAGTTCACAGATGACACTGCAGTGATCGGTCGCATCACTGGAGGGGACGAAGCGGCTTATAGGAGAGAGGTGGCCGGTCTGGTGTCATGGTGTGAGGACAACAACCTCACCCTCAACACTGACAAGACAAAGGAGATGATAGTGGACACGAGGAAGAAGAAGAGGCCTCACCAGCCACTGTTTATCCGAGAGAGTGAAGTGGAAAGGGTGAGCAGCTTTAGGTACCTGGGCATTCACATCAGTGAGGACCTCACCTGGACACTTTGAATATCTCTGGACTTTTTTATACATTTCTTTGAAGAGGTATAAGATCATTTATGTTTTGTTCCTGAGTAAATTATTTTCTTGTGCTTTTGAGTTTGATGATGTTTTCTTTGTGTCCAGTCCGTCTCTGTCTCATCTGAGGGTCCTGTCTTTAGTGTTTTGTCCCAGTTTGTCCCACTTTCATAAACAGGAAACTCAAGCCTGCTTTAATGTTAGCTTATAACCAGCTGTTGTTGTTTAGCTGGTTTTTCGTTGACTGCCTGGAGTTGGAAGCGCTCCGTGTCTAATCTGCTTACAGTAATTAAATAATAATGGTTATGCATTCCTTAGTGTGTTAGAGCCCTGACTTTATTTTAGGAGATGAGGTTAGAGGTGAGGAGGAGGATACCTGTCATGCTGTCTCTTTCCTTCGCTTCTTTGGTGACAAGAGCCCTATCCCAGATGATAAAAAGTAGGTATGATCCTTCACATCTTGAGTTTGTCTTACAGACTAAGGTGCAGAATGTAAAAAAATACCTCTACAGATAACTGACCACACCTTTAGAACTTTTGTGTTACATCTTGTGCATGATTTAGAGAAAGACCTGTTAAGACCAGTCTGGAAAAAGACCTGTTAAGACCTGTTTGGAGAAAGACCTGACTACTTCAATCTCTCCGGTTGCTTCTGAAACTAAGGAGCATGTGTTTCATGGTTTTAATTTATGCTAGATTATTCTGATAGTGTCATATACGACACCGACTCACTGTCTTTAATAACTGCCAACAGCCAAACCCTCTGTAGTGGTTTGCTTTATCTCTTTTTTTCTTTTCTTTTTTATTATCCCAGTTTCTCTTTCTTGAGGAAAGAGGAATGAGGCTGTGTCATAAAGGTGAGTCCAAGAGCAGATTAGACTAAACAATCGTAAATATTAGCATTATGGCAGAAAAACAACCCACCTTGCAGCCACTCCATGGTCCACTCTGTGGTTTTACTACACGACTTAAGCAGGTCAGAGTTCACATTTCTGGGGACAGTCTCTCTGGAGTTGATGATTTTCACTTTACCTTTGAAAACATTACATATTATTATGTTATTCCCCAGCGGGGTTGAGCTAAGAGTAGCGAGGGTGTCTTGTTACCGGAGCTGTCCATCACAGTGAATATGACCCCGCCTCCGATCCCCGCGCACTGTGGGTTGATGATGGAGGTGCACAGCAGCGCAGCAATGGCAGCATCTACTGCAGAGCCGCCTTTCTGAAGAATGTTCCTGAAACAGTTCAGAGAAATAGATCAGGCTGAAGTTCATGTCCCTGTCCTGGCTATTCGCGGGGATAAACCATTATTGCAGTCACTTTTAAAACAAAGTATCCAACTGCATAAAAGTACCACTGAGCATCTGGCTCCGGGAACTTAGAAAGAAAATGTTTGAATGTGATGCAAGAATACTACGCTTGCGAGCATATGACACAGAAATCAGCCCTGTTAAAATTGATAGTAGGCTTAAATATTGGTGCAACTTTGGCATTTCCGCATATTGGAAAGCATCACTGTAATACAGATATTGTGTCCAAGGAGAGAATATATATATATATATATCAAACCAAAAACCTTCCAGTTAGTAGGTGACCCGCTCTACTACCTGAGCTACAGCCACCCCCATCTCTTTAAATACCGTACTTTCTGTTGACAAGACACACCACATCTGTAAGAATCATAGTTTCTACGTAATACGGCTTTTTCTCAGTTTTGACCAATAAATCATTTAGTAGGGAAATGGCATGAAGATTTTATACAGATCACACCGACTTTTGACTTTTATAAAATGGGGTGGGGTGGGGGGGGGGGGTACATAACCGCACACTTCCATGATGAGACGCTGTTATGCAGTTTTCAAAGACGTTTTAGCGCTAAAGTTTGCATTTGGAACAGTGCAATATTATGTGTAATGCGAAAAACGAAAATGTGTTCGAAGTTTAAAATGTTACTCACCGTCCAATCTCTGAACAAGTCCAGGAGTCTGCGGCCACAGCAGCTTTTGAGAAAGTGCAATTAGCACTGATGTCCTTGACACACTCACTTGTACCCCCCCAATACCCATAACAACCAGCTACTAGACGAACTAGTACAGCACCTACACTTAGACCAACTACAAATAAGCCAACTGGTGCTAAACTTCGGACACATTTTCGTTTTTCGTCTCTGGCCAGGCGCTTTGCTCTCGTTTTTGCGCTCTCAACGTCCTTGTCCTTAATGTCCTCGTTGGGGGGACACATAGGAGTGGTATTTGCCCCCACAACGTCCTCGTCCTCAATGTCCTCATTGGGGGGACAAATAGGAGACGTATTTGCCTCTTCCACATGCTCGGTTGATTCAGGCATCGCTGCTTTCTTCTCTGCGTAACCGTCGGTAGTTCACTTCCTCCGAAAGTTAACCGCTTGTTGAGTTCCCAGACAGCACAGCGACGTATATATATGCGCACATATATCCGCTGTGTGCGTACTGATAGGCACAACGCAACGGAGACGCGTGTTTGTGGTAAGCAGAGGTAGCTGCTCCCGGTGTGTAGGACGTTTTGTCAGAACACCGGTAGCCCTGATGTTTTTTGCTCATCTCTGCAAGACACTGGGTGGACTTTTCTTACCTCAGCTTTTTCCTCCGTGTGCTTGATCCCACCAGGGATAGCGTGCACGTCGTTGTCCCACTGCAAAAGGATCGAATAACATCGACGGCTCTTATCGCTGCTTTATCGACCTCCTACTGTTCTCTGTGCGATGTTCATGAGCCACGCGCTGGTCTTCCTCACCCAACCATAAACACTTTGCATCAAGATTGTGACTTTTAGTCTCTGGTCAGCGATGTTGGTTCACTGTCTGACCGAGTGGGGGGTGAAGTGGTAAATTATGATCTTCAGTTGGACTAATATTAAGTGCAGCTGAATGTTCGGGTCAGCACTGCTCAAATATGAAGAAATATATTTGGTCTAAAACTGAAATAAAAACTCAAGTGCGAAAATGCAATTAACTGCAATTTAAAACTAAACTTGAGGGAAAATAAAAACTGAAACAATATTATGTGAACTGTATTTAGCTTAAATGTATTTTGTTAGCTTCAGATTTGGACAAATTTGTCAACACAAGCATCAATGAAGAAAAACAAAACACATCTATATGTCTTGCATAAATAAATCAAAGGGTAAAAATATATGATGCATAGTGTTTGCAAATATACATGTATCTGATAATAGGACAACTGGTTTGCTCAATTTTTATTTAAAGTGTGGATAGCTTCAGGGACATGTGATGATAAACAGTAGCCGTTTTGATGTGGGCGACATGGGCGGTTGCCCGGAGCGGCATCACGGGGATCGGCAAAAAAAAAAAAAAAAAAAGTTGCTCGTACTCGTTGCTGCCCCGACATCAGCCAGCGCATACTGGGAATGGTATAGGCACCGATCGGTTTTCTATCGCCCGTTTGCTGGGAGTAAGGGCGCCCTCCGTTTGCGAGGACGGGGCTGCGGGGGGTTCCCTGACCGGCTGGAGCAGCATCTAATAACCAACTCACAAAATAAAACAAAATAAAACAAACCAACAAACAGAAAAACATCAGACATCATGATACAGACTTATAATTTGCACCGATGTTTTTTCTCAAATCTACACACGAAAAGTGAGCGCGAGAGCCCTCGGTGCGCCTGCTCGCTGCTGAAGTCAAAGTAAACTTTATTGTCATCTCCGCTACATACAGTCCAGTATAAAGAGAGAGACGAGACGACGAGGCTCCAGTTACACCAGTGCAAGTAAACAAACAATAAATATAAGAAGAGTAAGAAAATAAATATACACTTTAGGACTCGGGGTAAAGGGATCAATAACACTTTAAAATGTATAATTTACAGTTTGATGATTTAAAATCTCACACACAACCTGTCGAAAGGGGAGTGGCCGGCTGCTTCCAAATAGAGTACATTTCATTCATAATGTTGTAAATACAAGCCCATTATCTACTCATGATTTGAATCCTGGGTTGTGTGAAATCCCAGAAATAAACCCCAGACAAAGCGAATCTGTGAACTAAGGTGTAGGTCTGTTAGGGTTATGTTGTGGTGATCCTCAGGTTGGGGGATGGGTGTTCATACTGGAGTGCAAAATTAAAACCAATGGAAGATGGACAAGAAAAGTTCAAAGTCATCAGGTGCAAAAGATACAGGTGTGATTGGATAATGTCATGTATCCTGAAACAATCAGAATCAGAATACTTTATTAATCCCTAAGGAAATTGTGTAGGTTACAGTTGCTCCAAGAAGAAATTGTAAAAATAGCAACAGTAACAGACTAAACTCCAAACAATGCATTATGTTACAGATTTTACACATTTAATAAATAGCACTATTATATACAGAGACTCAATTATAAATATCAAGAATTAACAGAGGTGATTTTAAATAAATATCAAGAACATTGGCAAGAATATTCCAGAGTAGAAAAGAGCACGTGTAAAAAGGGTGTTGCAGTGTTTACAGTGTATTAGGAGTTGTACAGGGAGATGGCCACAGGCAGGAATGATTTCCTGTGTCGGTCAGTGGTGCTTTTTGGTCATCTCAGTCTCTCACTGAACGCGCTCCTGTGACTAGCCAGCAGGTCACGGAGTGGGTGGGAGTTATTATCCATGATTGTCCTTATCTTGGACAACATCCGCCTCTCAGACACCACCCTAACGGAGTCCAGCTCCATCCCCACAACATGTGGATCAGTTTATTTAGTCTGTTGGCATCTGTGACCCTCAACCTGCTGCCCCAGAATGCAACAGCATAGAGGAT